CCCTTTCGCAATCATGCGTGTACGTGTCGCAAGATCTCTGTGTGAGATGGATGTCCGGACGCGTAGCCTAGCGGTTCCTCGACCGGTTCGGTCGCGTAGCTACGGCCTTATTTTTATTGGTGGCCAGGCGGGCCACCAACCCGACAGTTTCAGGTGGCCCGACGCCGTATCAGGTGGCCATTGGCACCCGTGCCACCGATAAAGTCGAGCCCTGTATTAGTTTAATACAGAGTATTGTGATACATAGTAAGTTCCAAGATAGCGGAGAAAGGTTCGTGTTGAGAATAAACCCAGTTTGGAAGTTCTAGTTTCTGAAAACGCACCAGCAAACCGCCCTGAGTGATTCACTTAGGGGTTCCTCCACAGAAAACCATTGGCTCGCGTTGTAACCCTATCCTGTGTTTGGGTTACATTATTGTATCTATGGTTAAACCTGCGACTTTAATCTCTACTGTACTCGCCTGTGTGCGTCTAGGGGTTTGTTTGGTGTCACCACCGCATTAACCCGACTAGAAATTGAACCGATTGATATATGTGCTTGTGTAAGGACGTCTATTTCTACCCGTGATCGTATCAGTGGTTACACGTGAGTGCGTTTAATACACCCTTGCTAGCGTCTATGTGAACGAATGTAAGAATGGTAGATAACGCACAGTATGACGTATTCATGAATCACTTTAATTGACACTACTTAATCTAGCAATAGCATCCGCCCGTAACGTGGCGAATGCGTACAGTGTAGTACGCGAGTAAACCTCACATAACTTACGAGGTATAAGTTGTCAGTCACTGTCTCTAACCAAGATGCCTGTATGTTTATTACACTATCGCTCTGCGTGTTCTCTCTCTGGTCGAACACGCGGTTATATACTGCCATAGGTAGACACGCCTACCTATTGTTTCTAGTCAGTCCGTACTACATGCTTGTCTATAATTGGCCTAATTCTATCCTGTCTATTCCCGCGTTACGACTTTACACAGCTGGTCATATATGCCAACCAGAACAATAGGCTATTCCTAGATATTTACTTATCCATCCTTCGACGGTATTACACTTGTGTCAATACAAATTAAATAGCGACAGAGTGGAAAAACAACGATTTTTCAGTAACCAAATAAATATGCTTTTAATAAGCTATATAATACACAATAAATAGCATTCCAGCAGTATTTTCTCTCTACTCCTAGATCAAACCTGTCTGTTCGCTCACATCAAACCTTTACTTTCTATCCAACTACACAAATCGAACCCCCTAAGTTATTTATCTTCTTTTCCACTCCCCAAATCGAACCCTTTTCCCCCTTGATTTTAGCTCTATTTATTTGATTGTAAACAATAGCAAAGTATAAACACAATCAGCTGTGCAGCTGTTGGCAGTGACGAGCCCAATTCTGGCGCGGATGACAAATGGACGAGACTAAACATTTATACAGACGGTACAAACCCCTTATATACCCAATGTATTATCTTACTATAATTTGGCGAATGTTGTATGTATGTATGTATGTATGTATGTATGTATGTATGTATGTATGTATGTATGTATGTATGTATGTATGTATGTATGTATGTATGTTAATGAAAGGCTCCGTCAGTTTTGATCCAAATAGCGCCAAATTCACAGTAATTTGACGAATGTTGTATGTATGTATGTATGTATGTATGTATGTATGTATGTATGTATGTATGTATGTATGTATGTATGTATGTATGTATGTTAATGAAAGGTTCAATCAGCTTTGATCCAAA